GAGAGAAGGAAATTAGGAGCTGAACTGAACTACACTGAACTAAACTAATTGGAGCTGAACTGAACTGAACTGAACTAAACTGAACTGATTAGAACTGGACCGACTGAACTGAAATTAAGTAAATATTAACAGGCCCGTAGTTCAGTTCAGCTCCTAATTTCCTTCTCTCATAAGATATTCATTTCAGCTCTATTTAGTTCGGCTCCAATCAGTTCAATTAAGTTCAGTTCAGCTCCAATCAGTTCAGTTCAGTTCAGTTCCAATCAGTGCAGTTCAGCTTATTAAATGTGAACAGGGCCCTTCATATATAATTTTGCAAAGAGTCATGTATACTTGATTACATTCCCTCAAGGTGTTATATATTCAAAATATGTACGTGTTTATCTGAAATAAATTTAGTTAAATATTTATATCTTTTGGATAAAGACTAATTAAACATAATTCAACTAAACAAAAGAACAATGTTAAGTATTGGGACCACCTAGATTATTATTGTGTGTCACCAATTAGTGACCTTATTTACACATTATAATAGTCGAGGTTCACTTTTAGACTTTTAGTGCAAAACTTGTAAATTCACATTATTCACATTCTTACACTTAACTATCAATTATCTTTTGATTCTCAAACACATAATTAGGTTAATTAATTTTATTGGATATATTCCTACATTTCTTAGCTTTATTCCTACATTTCTACATCTCAAACACATAACAGTCTATTCAAAAAAAAAAAAAAAAAAAAAAAAAAAAAAAAAAAAACACATAATAGTCAGGGTTCAATATTTGTCCTTGCCAAGTGCCCTACTAGCTACTTCCCTAATTAAAAATTACTGTGGTTTTAAAATTAATTTTAATGCACGTATGCCTATTATATTTTGTTTCCCTTGAAAGGAGGAATGTAGTTACAATATATTATACATACACAAAGAGCCAAGAATGGAAAAATATCCTACCTAAAAAGATATTGTACAAAGATAGAAAAGAATATTTTCATAGAATAAACTAAATAAAATCTTAAAGATAAGGAGTCAATATATGCATATACGAGAAAATAAGTAAGAATAAATCATGGTGAAATAATATCAGTTAGCCAATGAAATTATTTTGTAATATACCTTATATGAATTAATAAGATTTTATATTTATATATTAAAAAAATTTAAAAAATAATATAGGAAAATATTTGATCATATATTCAATTCCCTCTCCAAATCACGCTTACTCCTTTCACAAAAAAAAAATAAAAGAAAATTCCAAATAATCACGCCTAGTCTGTTTAAAAAAAAAATCCAAATAATCACACCTAGTCTGTTAAAAAAAAAGCCGTCCTCAAATAACGCCAGTTTATAAAAAAAAAAAATATAGCTAAAATTATGGAAACACTTCTTTCAGTTTTAGTTATATATCTTGATTTATGTTTCTAAAAAAAGTATCTTGTTTTATTTTTTATTTTTATTTGTCTTCAACCTAAAATCATGTCATAGCTTGATCAATGGTGGATGATATTCATGATTTCATACGATAATCAAAGTTAAACACAAAGTAATACGATTAATCCATAAATTAATTCCTAAATCATTAAATAAATAATATAAAATCAGAAAATTAATTTCACTATAATTTATGAAATCAAACTAAATATAAGAATTTAATTAATTTGAATCAGAAGAATGAATGTTGTAGGTTGATCTGAAGGTTTTAGATGATATAGGTTGAAAATGAATATTTTTTATTTGGAACATATTTTTATTCAATTTTATAAAAGAAAAAAAAACAAGTGTTTGAACAAATAAATTTAACCAAACAAGACTTAATGACTAGACTTGATGACTGTGTCAAAAAAAAAAATTGACTAGACTTGATGGCTGTTTTTTTGAGGTGTCGATTTGAACGCCTAGGATTAGTCAATTTACAAATAAACCGTTGAGATTTAATCTCTTATTATAGTCGATCATAGTCGTCCGTAGTTGTCCGTAGTCGACGACTACGCTAGAATTTTTATTGGATTTTTTTTGTGAAAAACTACCTTTTAAACTCCAGATTTTGCGAAAAACTACCCTAAAAACAAAATGTTGTAATTAACTACCTTATAAAATATAAAACGTTGTAATTGACTACCTTCTACCGGAATGACACATTAGACTTTTATTTCCCGATGTTGAACATGTCACGTGAGGGTCACGTGACCCTTTAATGACTTAATTCCCTTCTTTTCCCCAAATTTTCCCGCTTTATACCAAATTCAGCCCATATAATTATCAAAGGGGTTGAAAATAAACAATAAAAAATATGAATAATCATATTGTTAAAGAAAAGAGTTGGTATAAAGCGGGAAAATTTGGGAGAAAAGGGAGGAATTAAGTCATTAAAGGGTCATGTGACCCTCACATGACACGGTCAGGGTCATGTCAACACCGTAAAATAAAAAACAAATGTATTATTCCAGTGGGAGGTAGTCAATTACAACATTTTATACTTTATAAGATAGTTAATTACAACATTTTATACTTTATAAGGTAGTTAATTACAATATTTTATTTTTAGGGTAGTTTCTCGCAAAATTCAAAGTTTAAAAGGCAGTTTTTCACAAAATATCCTAAAATATTTAAATAAGTTAACTGCAGAGAACTAATCATTAAAATTCCTCCATTCTCTTCTAATTGCAACTTTATGCATGCAATTTATGCTTGACAATGCACATCTTTTTTTTTTTTTTTTTAATTATGTATTGGTAACTCCATATGATTCGATCAAAATCATTTACGACTATGTTTTCCTAACATATATATGATAAAAAAAAAAGTCTAAGAAATATATGTGATCAGGGAAACAGTTTGCTATTGAAAGAAAATGGAGGAAGTAAAAGAAAAAAAAAGTTTTTTTTTTCTCAATATGCCTATATTCTTTATATTGTACTTCTTTCGTTCTTTTTTACTTGACCTATTTTATTTATCACGTTTGTCAATGCAAAATATTAATGATCAATAACTTCAATTCCCTACAAGTAAAAATTATAGAAATTATATATTATGATATTACTTATTGATGAGACAAATTTAACAAGATCTCACATGGTTATGTTTTTACTTACATATAATTTGCAAATGACGGTGAAAGGAGGGGTGATGAATAGTGTAAAAGTCAAAGCGGGTTAAGAAAAAAAGAATAGAAGAAGTATGTATTTTATGTGATAGAGAGTATATAAAAATTATTTTTGATCTTACCCTCAGATTAATACTATGATTAAATTGGTCCTTTAATATGGTATATATCAAGAACGTGACACAAAGATCACAGACTCAAATCATATCCATCACTCCATTCAAGTGGAATATTAGTATGATGTAACCACATTTCAAGCTCAACGAACTCTTATGTGAGGGAGATCATATACATAAACTAGAGCAATTCTTTCACTTTCTCCGATCCTTCTGTACTTGGACATTTAAAAGGACTAGTTGTTGGCCCGCGCGCTACGCGCGCGATCCCCCAATGTGATTTCGTCTCCATGATTAGTGTGTAGTTAGTTATAGTTTATGTGTTAATGAAATTTAATTTTGCTAATGCTCACTTTAGTTATGTTATTATACATAATGATGCAGGCATAGAGGCTAAAGTGGGTAGCATCGGATGGCACGCAGTAGGCATTTGAGCATGCTGTTAAGGGGAATGGCTGTCAAGATATTTAGCATTTTTTTATAACAAAAAGATTGTAAGAAATGGCTATTAATATAGTTTTAGTATTGTAATAGCTTTATTATCAACTAATCAAATCATTACAGTTTTCCCCTAACATTTTCTTGAATATAGTATTGTTTTTTTGGTGAACATCCTCGAGTATTCCTTTCTTTCTGTAATCATCAGGCTTGATCCTCATTACCTAAATTGCACATAACTAATGCTTGAAGTAAAATTGGAGTGGCTTATAATATAATGTCAAATTATCCATTATTAGAATAAAATAAAGTGTGATCCTGAAACCATTATTTATATAAATAGAAATTGACCTCTGGAAATGGAATAAGTAAATTAAATTAATAATTTATAAGAATTAGATTTAATTCTTCAAATTTTAAATTGTAAACAAACTGTAAAGTAATTCAAGCACTACCAAATATTTTTGACATGGACAACAATTGTAGTAAAGTATTAATTTATCATTATGTAAAATTGGGTGGTGCGATCAAGGTGATTGGAGGATTGACAAAGATGGTGCAATCAAGGCGATTGGAAAATTGAGTGGAAGATTGGCACACTGGGTAGTGCGATTAAGGTGATTGGGGGATTAACAAAATGGATGGTGCGATCAAGGCGATTGGAGGGAAAAATATTAACTCTACAATCCTTTAATAATAATGAATGCTACTTCAATTTCAATTACTAACTATGTTAAGGAATTTCTCATAACAATGCAGAAGGGAAAAAGGAGGGGAAATCATGAAAAATTGCACATGTTCACTCAAATGTAATTGCTACTTAAGTTATAAAATACAAGATTTAACACAAAGCATCAATGACGTTGTTCTGCAGCACACCCCACAAAAGAGTGAAGAGCTTGAACTCTTTCGACTTTTCAGAATTTTTTTGAGCTTGAACTCGGTAAAGAGCCTCCTTCTCGATCTCCTCATTTGCCCTAAAATTAATCATAGCAGACCAACAATAAGAAATACGATCACTCTCATACTCAACTATAAACCTATCGAAATCTGCTGTCCTTACCGCATGCTCAAATCTCATGCCTAAATTATTTACTTTATTTTGCTTCAAAATGTCAGCTAACATGAAGCCAAATTCATCCTTCCAATCCCCCACCTAATTTTAGAAAGGAAAATCCCATTTCAGAACAGATTATTTATTTTAATGCCCCATGAACATTAATTATCTGTAATCAAAATACAAAGTAGCAAAAATCCTACAAAATCAGAAAAGCATAAACACAGAAAGTAGCAGCTTAAAATTCACATATATTGTTTGAAACCACATGTACCCACACTGGAATTAACCTAAAAAATTAGTGCGTAGAGTAATAAATCATCGAAAAATATTTCATATTGCTTCAAAATGTCAGCTAATACGAAGCCAAATTCATCCTTCCAAATCCCCCACCTAATCTCGCACCTGATTTAAGAAAGGGAAAATCCCTTCAAGCAAAGGCCATGTCTTATTAGAGTATACTCACCACCACAGGCCGCATAACACCAATATTGCTGGCCAATCATGGTAAATCCCTTATTCAATTAAATAAACAATAATTTATACCTGATTCAATCATACATTTCCTGTACATAGAAACCTATAAAATGAAGAGTGCGGACAAAGACCTTAGCCACAATTTGCACAAATTAGCTGGAATTATAAGAGTTTTTTTATGGAGCCTTGACAACTGAATCAGAGGTAACCTTTTGTGCCTTAAGAGAGACATCCTTTACCAATCGAGCCATTTTCAAGACAGCCCCTGAGAATGAACCAAAAGGAAATGTCATGAGGCAATGTTCCCACAACAGTCAATTTTGCAGTGTTGTATGACAGTAGAAAGGCATGAAATACTAATGATTCACATCTATGAAACTTACCAAAATCTTTATCGACACTTGCAGCATGGAAAGTTCCATATTACACCTATCCATTTTAACCTGGACTTTACATGATGTCCGATTACACAGGTTGTCAGATACACAAGCCGATCTCACGAAGGACTCTCATACCCTACACTTCTGCTGCCACTTGTTATACTTGCATCAAAAATAAATTTATTAAGTTACAAATGACAAATTAGGGGAGCACTTATATTAGAGATCTTCACCTGCACTTGTCACTATCAAGATTTAATTTTCCAGGATGTGATTTCATATCCATCCTGTTGCTGTTCTCTTTTTCAACTCTGTGGCAATTAAACCTTTGGAAGAAGTTCTTGGCTGCGTAGCTTGCTGCAGGTAGGTTCATGCTGAGCAGACTGACACAACCTCGCTGATGGCAAAATTATCAGGGTTAGAAGCAGCAAATAAACTGTGAATCTTCATATCACACAAGACCAGTTACATGCACCCTGAAAGTTAAGTTCATCTAAGGACACAAAGGCAACATGTAATAGCTTGCCTCCCTTCTAATTTGTCTACAAACTTCAATCATGATACTCAAACTAATATTTACAGTAGAAAATGATCAAATACACAAATGTGTCATCCACTTGTTTGTAGTAAAGCAAGATGATCACAAACACATATAATATCAACCAAAACCACTACTCATAGAGAATCCTGCTGCAGAATACTTAGCAAGAGCTCGTTAATTACATTAAAGCCCTCAGGTTAGAGTTTTTGAGGGAACTGGTCCATAAATTATATTTTCTGAGCTTTTATAAAATAATTTATAAAGTTAATTTGAAAATAATAAAATTTTAAAATTAAAATCTCACCCTGAAGGCTTTCTAATGTTATCCCACATCATGACATGGTTTCACCTTCTTTCTTTTCTGTTTTTTGCTCCTTACTAAATCTTTCAACCAAATGTCCAAGACTTCTACTTAGTGAAATTCTTAGCTTTATAGAATAAGGATACTGCCAATTTATTTTATAACATTATCAACCAATTTCATAATGCATGGTTAATTGAGATGTCCTGAAAAAATCAAGGTAAGACTGGAATTTTATGCATAGAATAGCAAGGTGCCAGGGTTTGATTCTGTAATTTCTAAATTTGGCAATATTTAGTTATTTATTCACTTTCATGAGAGTCAAACTAACATGTAATTAACCCTACACTATTATTTATAATGAATTTCAAAATAATAAAATTTATATAATAATAATAATAAATCAGCCCAACTCACTAATTATTTAAAAAAATTCTTAAGCAATGATCTTAGCAACACAAAGAAATATTCAAACTTCAACAAATCAAACATAAAGCAATGGTACACAATTCGAATAACATTCGGTATGGCCTAAATTTACCCTTTCATTTTAACCTTCATAATGCTCCATTTCAAAAATCACCCAAATAGCGCAAAACCGGATTAACAGCTACCAAATAACAATCAAACCAACAATTTTCTTCGAAAACTAAATTAGCAAAACCAATCCATACAATTTTGCAGAAAACCCCACTTTAATATTAAAAAACATTTCTTTGCAAAAATTAAATTAAAAACTGCAAATCTCATGCAAAATACACCCATGATAGTAATTGAGTCATTCCCCTTAACATTTGGGGGAAATCAATTACCCTTATGTGATAGATTCTAACATAATCACGCTTGTGAAATCAATTACCAAGCTCACTCAAACATGCTCCATGGTTAAAATTTAGGGGAAAAAATAGCAACCGCTTAGAAAACTTGAAATTTAGAAAAATAGAGAGAAAGAAATTACCCGAGAGTTGCAATCAGCACGATCGGAGGAGGAGAAATAAGGGGAATTGCCTAGAAGCATAGTAAAATTTACAATCACCATTGACGGACTTCCTTCGAAACCCAATTCTGCAAAATAATCAAATTGCACATTAATTTGATTCCGTTTTCTTTTCCTCGTAAATAAGATAACTAATAAATTATAATCTTAGAATAATATGTAATGAAAACATACTAAACATCTCCATTGAAGACAAATGGTCCCCTTACAGCAAAATAAGCACCCACTTCATTAGTTAAAAAATTCAATCCACTAAATGGTTGAGAATGATCAAGTGATTTCTGATTCACTAAATATCTTGAGATATCCCCCTTTCTACGCAATAACAAATGATTAAGATTGAGTAAGCTCCACCAGATACAAGAAAGGTGAAAGAACTTATGGATACTCAACCAGGGTAAAATTTGAAAAAAGATAGCAGTTCCTTCACCTGCTCACAAAGTGCACATAGTCTTCCAAGTGCCATTTTCCCATCATCACTTCTGGTAACAACAGCAGTTCCAACCCGTTGGTATCAAGAGACAAGACCAAAATATTAAAATTAGGCAGGAGAAAAAACTTAGAGCCTGTTTGAAGAAAGGGGGGGTAGAAGCTTGAAACATATCACTTCAGAGACAAATTTAAAGTAGAATTTAAGCAAGAATTTCTCTTCCCCTACTTTTGTGGATAAAATTCAAATCTTTATTAAACCAATATAACAGAAAGAGATCATCAATACTTAATAATCCAATAACCATCATCTACTGAACCTCTGAAGCGTGAAATAAATTGAGTTACAAAATATTTCCCGATTTATTTATTAGTAGTTCAACTAAACTCAAATTCTAGCTCCATGATCATCATCTTGCTTTCTTACAATAGTTCAGGTTAGCTTCCACCACTTATCCTTCAATTTCCCCATCATCTGCATTATCCCCCCCCCCAAGTCATTTCATCTACCACCATTTTAGAGTAATCTTACTTCGTTGTTGTCTGTGCCGTACTTTGAAAGCTATATCTTTTAGTTGCAGACTTGCAACAACAACGAACTACATATTCTTCTGTGTTTAATTTCCAATTTTCTTTACTCTGATAAGTATAGTAACTGGTGAGCAAGTGCTAAAGGGGTATCACCAAAAGTCAATGTCAAACTTGCATATTCTTACTAAACTAACATAGATTGGAAAAAAATACATTGATATAACAGAATTCTTTCGCAGCTTCAATGAATTCCGCCGAATTCTTCACCGTGTTGTTTAATCAAACAATCAATTAACCACACACAACAAATTAAATAAATATTCACAAATAAAAAAAAAATCAATCAATTGAATACGAAAGTACCAAGCGAAGGAGAAGAAATAGCGGAGCAGGTGAGGGAGCGGCGAAGACGAAGAGGTTGATTGGAGCGTCGGAGATGAACGCTGGAAATGAGCGGGAGGAAATCCGACGGTGGTGATGAGGAGAGAGAGGAATGCGAGGTGTAACAGCTAGGGCATCCATTGACCAGAAAAATCAGAACAATAAAAATTTACAAAACTCAGCATCCCAACCATTGTTGGACCCAAACCTGAGAAATGGCCACAAAAACCAAACTGAAAATTGATTACTAATAACAATTTAAGTTCTCTGATCATTCAACTACCAATTTAATCATAAAAATAGTTAGCAAAAATAAAAAATCGAACAACTCAATTAACCTATTTCATCGATTCACCAGCAAATATAATCAAAAAAATACAGAACAAAACCCCTATTTCATACCAGAATACAAAACAAAAATCCCATTTCATCATTTCACAAGAAAATAAAATTAGAAAAAATTGAAAACAAAAATTGAAGAAGAAGATCGTACCCATAAGAGAAGTATCGAGAAGGCTGTGAGCAAACAAAACTGATCAGTTGGATTGGTTGAAGATAAAAAATGAAATAAAGCAAAATAAAAGTAGGAGATGTGAGGATGAGGACTGAGGAGAAGCAAAAGCAGGTACGAGAGAGAAATGGGGGCAACTGAGCGTGGGAAGTAAAGAAAAAGGTAGGGGCCAAGAAAAAGCTAGAATGCCAAAAGGAAATGACCAAAACAACCCTGGCAATTTGGTCAATCAGAAAAAGGGGCTAAGGGCAAGCGGGTCATTTCCCTATTCATAAGGAACAGTAAAATGGGGAATAGTAAGGGTGCTTGGGGCTTTTATATACGAAAGTACCAAGCAAAGGAGAAGAAATAGCGGAGCAGGTGAGAGAGCGGCGAAGACGAAGAGGTTGATTGGAGCGTCAGAGATGAACGCTGGAAATGAGCGGGAGGAAATCCGACGGTGGTGATGAGGAGAGAGAGGAATGCGAGGTGTAACAACTAGGGCATCCATTGACCAGAATAATCAGAACAACAAAAATTTATAAAACTCAGCATCCCAACCATTGTTGGACCCAAACCTGAGAAACGGCCACAAAAACCAAACTGAAAATTGATTACTAATAACAATTTAAGTTCTCTGATCATTCAACTACCAATTTAATCATAAAAATAGTTAGCAAAAATAAAAAATCGAACAACTCAATTAACCCATCGATTCACCAGCAAATATAATCAGAAAAATACATAACAAAACCCCTATTTCATACCAGAATACAAAACAAAAATCCCATTTCATCATTTCACAAGCAAATAATATTAGAAAAAATTGAAAACAAAAATTGAAGAAGAAGATCGTACCCATAAGAGAAGTATCGAGAAGGCTGTGAGCAAACAAAACTGATCAGTTGGATTGGTTGAAGATAAAAAATGAAATAAAGCAAAATCAAAGCAGGAGATGTGAGGATGAGGACTAAGGAGAAGCAAAAGCAGGTAAGAGAGAGAAATGGGGGCAACTGAGCGTGGGCAGTAAAGAAAAAGGTAGGGGCCAAGAAAAAGCTAGAATGCCAAAAGGAAATGACCAAAACAACCCTGGCAATTTGGTCAATCAGAAAAAGGGCTAAGGGCAAGCGGGTCATTTCCCTGTTCATAAGGAACAGTAAAATGGGGAATAGTAAGGGTGCTTGGGGCTTTTATATACGAAAGTACCAAGCGAAGGAGAAGAAATAGCGGAGCAGGTGAGAGAGCGGCGAAGACGAAGAGGTTGATTGGAGCGTCGGAGATGAACGCTGGAAATGAGCGGGAGGAAATCCGACGGTGGTGATGAGGAGAGAGAGGAATGCGAGGTGTAACAACTAGGGCATCCATTGACCAGAAAAATCAGAACAACAAAAATTTACAAAACTCAGCATCCCAACCATTGTTGGACCCAAACCTGAGAAATGGCCACAAAAACCAAACTGAAAATTGATTACTAATAACAATTTAAGTTCTCTGATCATTCAACTACCAATTTAATCATAAAAATAGTTAGCAAAAATAAAAAATCGAACAACTCAATTAACCTATTTCATCGATTCACCAGCAAATATAATCAGAAAAATACAAAACAAAACCCATATTTCATACCAGAATACAAACCAAAAATCCCATTTCATCATTTCACAAGCAAATAAAATTAGAAAAAATTGAAAACAAAAATTGAAGAAGAAGATCGTACCCATAAGAGAAGTATCGAGAAGGCTGTGAGCAAACAAAACTGATCAGTTGGATTGGTTGAAGATAAAAAATGAAATAAAGCAAAATCAAAACAGGAGATGTGAGGATGAGGACTGAGGAGAAGCAAAAGCAGGTAAGAGAGAGTAACGGGGGCAAGTGAGCGTGGGCAGTAAAGAAAAAGGTAGGGGCCAAGAAAAAGCTAGAATGCCAAAAGGAAATGACCAAAACAACCCTGGCAATTTGGTCAATCAGAAAAAGGGGCTGAGGGCAAGCGGGTCATTTCCCTGTTCATAAGGAACAGTAAAATGGGGAATAGTAAGGGTGCTTGGGGATTTTATATATGTTATAGAATTATGTCAAATTAAAACACAATGGAGGGTCATGGTAAGGTTGCACAACGAACATATATATTAATTATATAAATAGAGTTGATATTCAAGGCATATGTATAGTATGAACAAGAGTTTGAGAAACTACTTCTCCCAATGGTTTTGGAATGGAATTTCTTATGTACATTATAGATCAAGCCATCAGAGAGTGAGGGATAGCTATAATAGGGATAGCTCAAGTGGTTAGAGCTTCCCTTTTGATTTCGAGAGATTCTAGGATCGATTTTAATTCCCGTCCTTTATGGCTCTCTAAACACCAAAATAAACAGCATGTCTTGTGTGTGACAAGTCATACCGTGTGACCACCTATAAAAGAACAAAGTAACCCGTATAATATTAACTGAGTAACCCCTATAATATTGACTGAGTAACTCCTATAACACTAACCAAGTAACCCTATAACACCGACGAAGCACTAGTAGAAAAATAGTAATTAGCACTGCTCAATGGCCATCGGTTTTTAAAAACCGGTGGGGAAAACAAGGGGGGAAACAAGGGGGAAAAAACGGGATTTTTAGAGGAGAGTATTGCCACTAGTTTAAAACAAACTGGTGGGAACAATAATAATCTCACCGATTTGAACCGGTGCCAAACCTTAAAAAATAAAGCCGGATTTTTTTGGATTATATAAAACCCTCAAGCCCTAGGTTTCTCTCTCATCCCTTTCACTCGCCGCTCTCCCTTTCTCTCTCATCCCTCTTTCTATGATATTTCATTATTTCATCTCCTCTTTCCGTTTCATCACTTCTCTTTCTTCGATCTCTTTCTTTGGACTTCTCTTTCCCTTTGACTTCTCTCCTTCTCCCTCGTCGCCCTCCTCTTCTTAAACCATAGGTAGTGCCATTACCATCACCGCAGCCACCAAGACCGACATCAACAACAAGTTTTTATGGTTTTCAGGTCAAATTCGACCATGAAAACTCTAGATCTAGAGTTTTTATGGTCGAATTTGGCCTCGTGAACCGAATTTCAAGCTATGAAGAGTTGTCGAATGAAGATTTGTGTGTTTTTTTTAATTTTTTTTTTCATTTTTTCGGTTTTTGGATGGTTGGTGATTGGATGGATGGTTTTTCATGGCTGGTGGGTGGTTTTTAGTGGGTGTTTGGGTGGTTTTTTTTTGTGGCTGGTGGGTGGTTATAGGTGGTTTGGTGGTGGGTCGTGGGTGGTGGGTTGTGGGTCGTGGGTTGTGGGTGGGGAGTTGGGTAGAGTTTTGGTTTGGTTGTGGGTTCGGTAAGGGTTTGGGTGGGTCTGGGTGATGGTTTTACGGTGGGTGGCGTGGATCTGGGCTAGAGGCTGGTGGCGTGAGGTGAGGGCTGGGGTCGGTTGGAGCTGGTGGTGTAGGATGACGGTTGGTGGTGGTAGGGGGTGGTGGGTCGTGGGTGATTTATATATATCTTGTAGATTTATGTATATTATGAATATTTATGTAATTTTTGTATGTAATTTTGTAGATTAATGTAACTTATGTATGTACTTTTTGCAAATTTATGTTATTTTTGCAGATTTAATTTATATATGTAATTTTGCAGATTTGATTTATGTATGAAATTTTGCAGATTTGATTTATGTATATTATGATTATATTTTAATGTTTCCTGATTTTTAAGTAAAAAAAAATATTACTTTTGGGACAGTATTGCCACCGGTTAACCAGTGTCAATACTTGTTACGTTTTTGCTACCGGTTTTGAACCGGTGGCTTTTTATTAGATTATTGCCACCCCTCAAATGCCCAGCGGTTCGAAACCGGTGGAATAAGGGGGTTTGAACCGGTGGACATTTGTCTTTTTCTACTAGTGAAGTAACACCTTTAACACGGATCAAGTAACCTCTATTACATTACGAAGTATCCCCTGCCATACGCTGTGACTAGCCACATATAAGACTTGTGTTTCTGAAGTTGATAAAAATCTTCTACATATCTAGCTAGATGTTAAGTATAATATGTTGAAATTAAATTATACAAAGTATATAATAGAGATAAGAGGGGGAAGAATAACATAAACCAACTTGTATTTAATCCATTTGTAAGGTTACATCATAGGACTTTATTTCTTTAGAGCTGCTCTGCTCTGCTCAAATCAAATCTGCTCTGATCTGGTCAAAAGAAATCTGCTCTTCTCTATTTTCAAATAATAATTAATATTCAATAATAATAATAATAATTAATATTGTATTGATGATAATAATTAATTATTTTGAATAATTATAATAATTATTAATAATAATAATAATTAATATTTATTAATCATAATAATTAATAATAATAGTTATCATTATTAATATTTAATAATTCAAACTATTAAGAATTAATATTTAATAACATTATTAACTAATAATTTCTAATAATTATAACAATTATTTCAAATAAATAAATAATAATAATAACAATTAATAACAATTTCTTTTATAAACATTTGATATTATATTCACAATGTGTAGAAAGATTATATGTATGTGGGTATTGATTGTTAGTTCATTGAGTTGAATTATTTTTCAAATATTTCCGTACAATTTTAGAATTAAAAAAAGAGGTTGTTTTCAAGTAGTACTTTGTATATCATTATTATTTTTATGGTTAAAAATATATTATTAAGACAAATTTATAAGTAAAATCATTATTACTCATTAAATCATTTTATTTTAAAATTTTGGTGAAATAAATATAAGTAAACCGTTGTATTTTATCTTTCTACTATTAACATATGTTAAATATGGTATACATATATTTATGTTTTCACTCACCTAAATCAATGGTATATGCACTTAGTAATAGTAATAGTAATAAAACAACATTAATAATAATAACACTGATAATAGTAATAAAAAAAAAAAATAATAATAATAATAATAATAATAATAATAATAATATTAATAATAATGCTGAAATTTGCTCTGCTCGGCTCGACTCTGCTATCCTGAAATCTGCTCTTCTCTGCTCTGCTGACCCCTGCTTGGCTCTGCTCTGCCCATAAGCTCAAAAGAACAGGGTCTTAGCCTAACAAATTAAGTTAAACTTAGGAACGAAGAAAAACTAGCTAGTACGTGACCCACTAATAAGAAATAAACTTGATTAAAAAATATGTTAATAAAACAAACCCACTAATTATTTGTTGCTAGATAATATAGGAACTTCTTTCAAAAAAAAAAATATAATATAGAAACTAACGAGGAAGTATCACCCCATACCTGGTATTGGCTCCCCGTGCCCAATACCCAAATAAAATAATAATATTTTTAATTTAAAAAAAGAGAAATTAAAAAAGGTTGGGTAAAAAAGTTAAAGTTGGGTAAAAAAAAAAGAGGACTGAGGAGAGAGAAAAGACCTTGGCCCCAATTATCTTTCATTTTCCCGCGAAATTCAACTCCGGCACCGGCGTTAGAGAGAGAACTTGGCGCGACGCTATTATTTATGGTGATTTTTTTACGATTTTGTCGGTGAAATCTGCAGTGCGGCCTGAGGAAGGTTTGTTCAGTCCATTTATGCAATTTTGTTAATGTTTCAAACTTAGGGTTGGGAAGTAATGTAATTTGAAAATGTGCTTCTTTTATTGTTTTAGAGGAATAATTGTAAATGGAATTGAATGAAGAGGAGGTTGGTGACCATGAAATAGAGGTGTTGGATTTGGATCTGGAAGTTGCTGAGGAGGTAATGAATTGTTGCTTTTTGTGTACTGTTTAGGGAATGGACTGGTATAATTGTTTGAATCATTTGATATTGTTTGTAGTTATAGCTGTGATTTTTGCAAAATTGAAGCTTTAGGGGTATGTTTAGTGTTGGAAAGTTTATATGCGTGGTGATAGATATGGGATAGTTGTTAGTGTTGTTTATATAATATAGCTATGATTTGGTGTTTGTATTTGGCTAGTATTGTTTAAATCTGTTACAAAGTTTTATAGTTAACTTCATAATAAATTGTAATGCATGAGTGTTCTGGTTTAGGTAATTGATTTAGTTGTGATAAACTGTAATATATGATTTTTACAGGTTGGTGTGATGGACACCCCAGTGGTTGATGTGTTAGGGTCTGGGGGTGTGTTTGAGGATGGTAATGATGGTAATGCAGCAACAACACCGCTTCGGTGTGTTGTTGAGAGTGATGAAGGGGCTTATAAAGATTTGCTTGACCATCCTCAAGTTGGTATGGTTTTTAGTAGTTGGGAGGATGCCGATAAGTTTTATAGGAAATATGGAAAACAAAGGGGATTTGGAGTATACCGAGCTGCTGGGAATTTCAAGATAGAGAATGGGAAAACAGACAAGAGTAAGAGGAGGAGCTACATTTGGCATTGTGAATGCGCTGGTAAGGCAGACTTGCGTAGAAGAGTAAACGAGAAAAGGGTATATGGTGGTGGGTTATCTTTGGATCTAAATAGGAGGAAGACTAAGAAGTGTGGCTGTCCTGTGGAAATGAGGGCTGTTTGTAAACCTGATGGTTGTTGGGAAGTGAGGAAGGCAATCACAGCACATGTAAATCACAATCCAACTCCCAGAAAGTCTCGATATATTTCTATGTATCGGCAGGAAGAAATTATAAATGCGGTTAGGAGGAGGTTGTTCAATGATTGTAGTGCTGGTACTCAGGTTACACAAGTCCATCGTAGTTTAGCAAAGGAGCGAGGTGGGGTAGAGAACATGGCCCTTACGGAGAGGGACTTGAGGAATGTACTGGCTCGTGAGAAGAAGTTGCAGATGATGAGGGGGTATGCTAATGCCATGCTTGCCTATTTTGACAAGATGTGTTCTGGTAATCATAATTTTTTTCACAAGTACAGATTAGATGATGAGGTGGCTAACGGATGTGATGTGGGTGGATGCTCGTAGTAGGGTAGCTTATGAAGAGTTTGGGGATGTAGTCTGTTTTGATTCGACATATGTTACAAACGAATACGAGCTACCTTTTGCAAATTTTGTGGGTGTAAATCACCATGGATAGACCATTCTTTTGGGTTGTGCTCTAGTTTCCAATGAGAACACAGAAACTTTTGAGTGGTTGTTTAGCAATTGGCTTGATTGCATGGGTGGAAAACAACCTGTAGGGTTCTTGACAGATCAATGTGCTGCAATGAGGAAAGCTCTTAGTAATGTGATGCCCAATGCCAGACATAGGTGGTGTTTGTGGCATATTGTGAATAAGTTTGGTACGAATCTTGGAAGCTATGCTAACAACCAGGAATTTCATGATGATTTACTAAATGTTATTTATGACAGTTTAAATGAAGATGAGTTTGAGCTGAATTGGACATTAGCAATGGAGTCTTATGGACTTGTAATGGATGAGTGGCTCTTAGGTGATTTTTATTTTCCCTAAGACTATACACTTATTCTAGAACTCTAACTTTCAAGAAATGTACGAAGTATAATGCTTCGTAGTCAGACCATAGAGTTTTTGATTTGCATTCACTATTTTGCTTATGAAGTTTATAAATCATTCACTATATATTTATAAATCATTCACTCTAATTTAATCAATGATCATTCACTATATATTTATAAATGTAAGAAAGGTTTATATCATTGCAGTTCATATCAATCGAGTCCTCTATTTTATTTCTCTCAAAATTGCCTAGTATGTTATTATTTATAAATCAGTCTTGTTTTTCATAAATCAGTCCTTGATATCAGTGTTGATGTGCATCCTCAAATCAGTGTTGAAATCAGTGGTGTTTTGCTTAAAGTGATTTGAAAATCCTACAAGAGTCCTGAATCAGTGAAAATGGTGACAAATATTTATGATCATGTGTAGGTCTGTATGAGGAGAGGCATATGTGGATCCCTGCGTACATGAAACACCTTATTTGGGCAGGGATGAAGACCACGCAACGTTCAGAGAGCATTTATAGTTTTTTTGACAAGTACGTGAAGAGGGATACTCGTTTGTACCAGTTTGTGGAAAGGTACTGTGATGCCATGGAAAACAGGGCAAACGCCAAGAAAGAAGCCAATGCAAACAGCGCAATGAGAACGAGGCATGCTATAACTAGTTTTGCATATGAGAAAGCCTTCCAGAATGTCTATACGGATGCAAAGTTCGTTGAGATACAGGAACAATGCACAAGGCTTATGTATTTGAGTGTTGTTGGGAAAATGGAGGTGTCTGACAGTGTTGTGGAGCATTTGGTACAAGATAGGGTCTGGTTCTTTGATAAGGTGTTGAGAAAGGAGATTCCTATGGATAGGAAGATAGTGTACTCTGTAACTTTCAACTCCGAAACCAATGATGCATTTTGTGAGTGCAAGCTTTTTGAATGTCATGGAATCATGTGTAGTCATCAGTTTAAGGTGTTTGATGATAATGGGGTAAAAGAAGCCTTCAAAATATATATTGAGGTGGTGGCGTAAGGACGTCCATAGATGCCACACATGGGTCAAGGTTGCATACCATGATCCTTCCGAAACCGATGAAGTAAAGAGGTATGATAGATTAATGGTCCAGTTTGAGAATGTGTGTCTCAAGGCAGCCAGCCGTCCAGAGTATGTTAAAATTGCATTTGATGCAATAAGCAATCTTGATAAAGCATAGGATGATGCTATCATGAAGGGCAGTGGCACCGATACTATCCAAAAAGATGTTGAATGTGATAATACTGGTATGGAATCATCTCCATCGGTGAATAAGGATTTTGTTTATAAGGATTCTGATTCTGTGATGCTGCATAATGATTTGGGTGATTCTGTTGTCAACGAGAGATCTGCATTGGGGCTTAATGAAATATCAATTGACCCATTACATAACACTCCAACTCCAATGGAGCTGGTGCCAAATGAGGGTGGGTTTAATTGCGGAAGTTCTGTGAATGAGAACATTTCTGCTGGTGACGGATCAGTGCAAAAGCCGTTGTCTGTTGGGGATTCTATATCTCGGAAAAAACCACATAGACCCAGGGCTAAGCGTTTCCTGTCATTTGTAGAGAAATGTGCCAAAAAAGCATCGTCTGCTCGTACTAAGACAACAACTAAGACAAACAATGTGTGTGTTTAATTTTTGCTAACGTGTAAACCTTAAACGTTATTATAATTCTGTAATTTTCTAACTTCACACTTGATTGTAGGGGAACTGTGGTCAGCAGGCCGAAGTGAACAAGGGTACCAAAAAAAGAGGAAGGCCAAGGAAAGTGAAAGAGTAGCAAGCTCCTGCAACTGCTATGGGTGTATGTGCTTATTGTGAATATTTTTTTAAAATAAATATACATTAGATAAAATGAAAACTTTGTTCTTGTTTTGACTGGGACATGTGCAGGTGGATGGAACAGTCCCTACGATGTAGGTTGGAGGGATTGGGTATGGTCCAGCTTATGGTGAGCTTGGGTACTTTACCAGGTCAATTCAATCATGTCCTGAGTGGGTTGCCCGGGATGTGTTGTCGTTTACTAGTGCTAGCATGAGTGCAGCTTCTTATGTTCAGCACTATAATGGGAGTGCAACTTCTTATGTTCAGCAGCAATATAATGGGTAGAGGTCTTATGGTCTGTGGTGTTTGTGTTCCATTATGTGCTTTTGGTTCTTTGGGTTTGTAAGTTATTTCCGACACTATAATGTGGTGTTTGTATTAGTCAATTATGTACATTATAGTGGGACACTGACTTAATAGACGTTTAGTTTTCCATTATTTTAGGAAGTATGTTAAAGAATGGAAGCAATTTTGTGTGTAAAACATTTGTGACTATGGACAAGTATGGCCAACTGTTAATGTAAAACATGTCATCAGTTTGAACCAAAAGTATTCGTCACCTAAATGTTATATATACCTAAATGTTAATGTATGATTATGATTGTAAGAAATAATAGCGTCGTGATAACAGAAAATATAATAATAAATTTAATAAATTTAACATGTGTATTATTTAACACCACAGTTCTGCAGCTATAAATCATCAAAAGCTAATAATGTAAAATATTAATTGATTATTGTTGCATGTAGAAAATATTAATTGATTATGTTTTTTGTTTTAGATGGTTTAACAGGTTTCAAACGATAGTTATTATAAATAGTCAATCTGAAGTCGAACGATAGTTCGTTTTTAGCTTTACTTAATTATTGACATATTTAGTTCTTACTACAAATTTTTAGTTATTATATCGGTTTGTTAATAATTATCGTTTTACAATAATTATCGTTTGTCATATAACTGTTATATTAATATTAATATAATAGTGTTATTTTATAATATAACTAAATAAAACGTCGGGGTAAGAGTATATATCTATGGAATAACTGTATCTGAAAATACAGTGTGATTATCGTTTACAATGTGAACATTATGTAATATACATTATTTTATATTGACAGTATCTGAAAATACGGTGCATAGTAGGAAGTTTGATTACATATGTATGCCTCTAATATAGATTAAAGCTAATATTGGAACCTATTACATCACCCTTACACTAAGCACTTAGGAACTTCATAATGGTTACACTGACCACAACAGATAAGAAAACGCATAGTAGGATTAAGGTTGAGTCATTAGATGCGATGTTCCGGTTTCGGTTTAAGCTTTGTATTTCCCTTGAAAGCCTATCATTTTCTGCATCCATACATTCCAATCTTCCCTTCATTATGGTGATATCTGTATTTAGCTTGTGTTTCTCAGCGAGCAGGATGTTGGTTACGTCTCTTTGCCAATCAACCACATCCTCGTCAACCCACTCAAAAAAATCGCATCCCTTGACGCCCGTTTCGAAATTGTAGAACTTGCACGCTAGAAATTTCCTTCCCGGGTTGTCATGAGTCCAACTCGTCCTCTTCGCTACTGGAAAACCACACTCGCATCACTTCGCAACCCTCGACATTCTCTCTTCCTCACAGTTTGAAGTTCGAATGAAGCTTTTAGCTTAGGTTATGTACTTATTACTGGAAGGAAGGTCAAATCACTAGGGGTCTACTGTCTACGGTCTACAACAATTGAATTGATTGTTGAATTTCCAAATTAAATTATGATTTCCGCGCATTAAACAATGTGCCAAACGATCAAATACCGTTATTTACTTATTCAAAACGGTTATATGTATAATATATTCTATTTAGTGTATTTAACTGTTAAATGTAGTACAATCATTGCAATGCGGTGCATTTAGTTTATTTATATTTAATACTTGTTCCCAAGTCGATCAATACATGGAAACATCTGAACACAATTGGAAATGAACATGTTAATTTGTGTTACACAAGTCGGAAACACAAAAGTCGGAAGTAAGTACCCTTAATTTAAATGTTAATACAAAAGCGGCCAAATAAGTACAAATAAGTACAATGCAATATAATAGTTAACAAAAAATTCAAAACCGACGGAACGTTACTTGTTAATTCTTAGAAATTGAAATTCATCTTAGACAAAAGGAACACTCTTCATAATGAACTTTTATATTTTTACGTAAGACTTAGCAATTGTTATATTAACTTACATATCCCTACAATAAATCATTAAATATCCCTAAAATAAATCATTAAATATCCGAATCATTAAAATAAATTATTAAATATCTGAATATCATTAAATATCCGAAGCATTCAAAATTTAACCATATATTGACTTACATATCCCTAAAATAAATCATTAAATATCCGAATCATTAAAAATTTAACCATATATTGACTTAAATAGTAATTGTATATATATCATTTCTTACCTAATTTTATATTAACTTACATAATCCATTACTTATATTTCTTTAAATAGTAACTGTTTTTCTAATTTTATATAAGTCATTACTATGTATATATATAATATTACTAATTTTATATTACTAATTACTACTTTTATATTAATTAAAATACTTTACTATTTATATATAATTTTATGCTTGATTCAAAGTCTTGTAACAAGGTCTTTATACCTCTTCAATTTTGATATTACTTGGAGTAGTGCAGCACTAGTTGATGCGAAGGAAGTGATGGTAACGTCGTCTTTCGAATCCGTCTTGCTCAATATGTGCATAAAGGTATGCTCCATCCGCTATTCCTGCTTCTTCGACGGTTACCTTGTCATCCAAGTCCTTACCATTCAGTAATAGCCGTACTCGTTGAGGATCAACACGATTATCAGTCCCCCAACGTACGTACACCGTATCCATCGGAGTGTCATTCCTCACTCTGAATTGAAAGGTGTTGCGACGTTCAAATAAGTTAGAAATATGGAAAACCTTCCTTTCCCTCGTAGTAACACCTACTGGGTTAACGACCACGGGTTCCCCTTCCTGCAAAATATTATGTAACAAATTTATTTTATTGAGTAACATTTTCATGCGCATACAAGTACATGAGAATGCCTTGAGTGTTAAGTAATAGAGGTAGCTTACTTTATTATATGCGAGAACAATTTCATCCTTGCAAAAACCCCTTCGGTATGGTGTCTCGGTCTGTGTAATAAGGTGACCCCTGTTGTACAACCGAAGGTCACTTGGGAGGACGCCGGCTCTCTTAGCATAGGGTAGAAATACGGAGTTGAAGGTTTGATCAACAGGAATTTGGTACGTGAGGCCTACATCATCCACCTCTCCACCCTTGATAAGCAAGTCACACATTGTGCGTAGTGGTAATCCAACCAATACAACACTATCATTGGTGTTGTCGGTGCCGGTGGAGGATGAAGAAGATGAAGACATTATGAGGTCGGTGATACATTGGGAAAATATGTGATGCTAGAGCTTTGATGTTAAGTTTTTTTTAATACAATTGATTGTTTGACGACCAAAGCAAAGTGGCTTGTAGTAATGTAAGTGGCTTGTAGAATTTATTCTTTGCCAACTACTTAATTCATAATTCCTGTTTAAATTCAAAAAAGACATAAGGTTGAAATTACACGTCTCGGGGATTGTTGTTGCGTACATTTTCACAAATTTAACTTGATTGGACAAGTTTAGTACTGCTACATTTATTAAACAACTAACTAAATAGATATTTTATACATATTAGTTAATTGAAACATTGAATACGGAAGTCAACACCATCTTTTGTATTTGTGACTAAAATACTGTTATGTAGTTAATCACTTCCGCTTATAAGTATCCAAAAACAGTTAGTATTTCACACAAAGCGTAGTATCATGCACTGCACATATATCCATTTTTTATTAATTTACCTATATGTAAAAAGAATTTTAACAGCATATAAACCTACATAACAGTGCGTAAAAGAATATTTATGGCATATATTATTAATATAACAGTAATAAAATAAAAATGTACACTTCGTGATGTTTTCTAAATGCTACATAAATGTTGTGAAATATTTGGTGGACGTAAATTTATATTAATAACTAGTTTTACAAAAACTAAACTTGTATAAGGATGAAGGATGGATAACAGTATATTATTAAAAATGACTGGGATACATTTATATT